ATCAATGTGTTCACTGGGCCAGCGGAGGTGGAAATGGTAAGTATGTACTCAACTTCACAGCGAGAGATGACAGAGATGATATAAGACAGAGGGATGGGAATAATAAGAAAGAAGATGTGCTGTAAATACTGTTGAAATGAGGAATGAACGAGGGGATGACAAAGAATGGTTCTAGGGGGAAGCAGTCTCTGAAGTGCTGCAGGGAGGATGTTTTGTAGTCTCAGCCCACCTTTGTCAGCCCTGGTGATAAGCAGGTCCTGAGGCTCGAGAACGTGCACCTGCTTCACCACCATGGTTTTGTCAAACACCTGGACTGGGGGCACAGCCTGCGTCTCTGAAAACACAACGCATACATCATAATAAATAGACGGTTAAAATCGGACAAATATGTCATGTCAAAATACTGTACTGTTGCGTTGCACTCACCAGCGTTGGACAAAGCTGGATCAGGGCCTGAAAGAGGACAACATCATTATCATCGTCATGTTAGCTGTCAGCCTTGGCATTCTGCTGAGAGCAGTATTGAATGGATATGGATGGGTGGCTGTATTTTAGAGGACATGGGGAGACATCGATTAGGGATGACCTCACCATCTAGCAGCATGACACCGGCTGCGTCGGTGGCAGCCAGCAGAGACTGACCCCAGGAGTCGGCACACACGATCTCATAGGGGAATGTGCTGCTGAACGTCTGGGACTCCCACGGCTGCAACATACATGTAGATACACACATAAACATATAAGTAGACACACATACTGGAATTAATATCCACTTGCAGTGCAGTGAAATGTCTCAGACGTGTCGTCACCTCTTTTCTGCAGAGGCCGGTGGTGACAAGGCTAGTTGGGGCGTCTCCTCTCACAATGGTCTTCAGCTTCAGAGCCTAAAGACAAAATGTCAAATCAGATATGACACAACAGAGACATCTGCCAATTCTATATGCTTTGGCTTGCAATACTGGATGAAGTACTTAGATCCTTTGTTAAAGTACAAACATTAATAACACAATGTAAAAGAACAGCAAAATGTACTTAAAGTTTCATAACATATGCCATTATAAAGAGTGTTAATACTGGTCCAGCACTGTCAGTTTAAATGTAGCTGTTGTAGCTGGTTGAGGTGAAGTTGAGGTTATTGTTGTAATTTTTAGTCCTGTGGTTTCTAACCTAAGGTTTGGTCTCCCTCCAAAGGGTCATGTGATATATCTGAGGGGTCGTGAGATGATTAATGAGGTAGGAAAAAAAAAAGAACAAAATGTGTTCCGCTTCATAAATGTAATGAAATATTGGATAATTTTACCACTTTGGGCCCTGAACAGATTTTATCTTCAATACTATTATGTATTTTATAAGCTTCTCATATGCTTTTTATTGTAACATCTTTATCTGAAAAGTAACTACAGCTGTAAGACAAACATAGTAAAGTAAAAAGTATAACATTTTCCTCTGAAATTTAGTGGAGTAGAAGCATAAACTAACATAAAAAGATACTCAAGTAAAGTACAAGTACCTCAAAGCAATATTTTCGTATAATGCTAGAGTAAATGTACTGCTAGTGGCGTGTTAAACATGTGTCACTTTAGGCAGAATGCACTTTAAACCTCTCTTTAAAAATAACTGACCACTTCTTGAAACAAAACATGTGCTATCTAAACAATGTCTGGACAAGACATTCACATCATGGAAGCTGCATGCGAGTCGTGCATATAAATGCAATACAAGGAGGACAGCAGTGGTCTGAGCTTGCTGAATTATGCACATTGCACTAATATTGAACTAGCCTCCCATTGTTTATTCCTTGTTTCCGTGCATATTTAGGCACCGAGAACTGTGACGCTAGCTCACAGAGGTGGCGAGGATCTGGACAAGCAGCGTGGCTGCAGTGTAAAGTATGATAAAGTATCATAATATAAATAGAGTACATAAAATACAGTTTGCATAAATGCTCAAGCAACAACCATCTGATCAGATTGACAATTTCCATTTCAAGCTGCACAGTCGAGCGTTTCTATTTACATATCTGCATAAACAGGCGATCTGGAGATGATGAAATCAATACCAGCCAACAGAACAATGGTTTGGCAGAGCAGTGGACTTCGCCATCCACAAAAAACAAACATATTTTGACCTATCAGGAATCCACGACCAACACAAAAATCATTTTGTATAATGTGCATCACGCAATGAGGGACCGTACAGAGAGTCAGTTTAGTTGAGGACAAAACGCCTCGTCTCTACAAAACTGGATAATCAATGACTCAACACGTCTACATCCCTTTGTTTTCATGCTTTACAGCACAATGTGTCGATGCCTCGGCTTTTGCACAGGCAGGGTTTGCAAATGAAGATAACGAGCAGAGGAAACATGAGACACAGGTTATCTTTGGTGGCATAAACATGCATCTTAACGAGCTAATTCAAAAAAAAGTTCACAGTGTTCTATGGAAAACACCTACTAAGTGTTTATCTTCAATGTAGACTAAAACCTAAAAAACAGACCTTGTTGAGTTTTAACACAATATGCTTCAATTCACAGAAGGCCACACATATGTCCAAAGAATGCCTAATATCTCACCAACAGCCTGAAACGAATGACTTCCATAAAGCCAGAGGTCATCTAGGTTCAGCACCATGGACAGTTCTTTGCATGCTTTTCTTTTCTTCTTTGTGTTTTCAGACTTTGTTCCTGTATAATTGAAGTTACGTCAGCACCCAGGACAGAGGTGTAATGATGATTACATCAGCCCAGTGATGACAGAACTGTGGCTCAGAGACCTGGTTCTACAGTGTATTATCTCAACCCTGGCCCTCCTGATAGCAGGTGTCCAGTTCACTCAGCTGTCTGTCAGGAATTACAGCTCTTAAATGACCTCATGCTAGCATAAAGAGTCACAGATCTTCCTGAAATGAAAGAGGCTACGTTTTAAAGACCTCTGTTGCTTTCGCTACAATCGCGGTTTCTTTATTTGTCTCACCATTGTGTCAAAATTAAATAATGCACCAGCGCTGTTACATACATGTCTATAAGGGTCATTAAAAGGACTTATTTTTCTCATCTCGGACTGATTTGGCTTTGTATGAACTCTAAAATGTGTTTTGCACAAAAAAGGACTGAGCACTTCACTTACATTGAAATCGCAGGAACAATTGCAAGGACTTAAAATGTGTTCAATGATACCAATAAACATCTGTGTTTACATGTGGCTTTAGGTGTCTTACAGTAGGTGTGTTTGTGTTTGTCCATGTAGGCTTTTTATGTGTGTCTACCTTTGTCTGGGTGTCCATCCCGGTTCCCGTGTGTGTACAAGTGGGTGTTTCTGCCTTAGTGCTGCAGAGCTCTGGGTGGTTGGTATTACTGCGTTTGTGTGTGTATTAATTCCTTACCTGCCCTATTCTGACAAATTCGGCCTGCCGTGCCTCCTCCTTCTTGCGTGCTGACTTTGGAGACTCAGGCAGCACGTCGCTGAAGGACCGGCGGTTTAACATGTTCTGGGGAGAAAAAGGAACCTAAACGTGGAACACCAACACCAACGAACACGCACACACAGGGGAAAAAGAAAGCAGAAAGGGGTCTTAGAGACTGACCCTAGCGGGTGAGAACAGCAGCAGTGACACACAGTGAGAAGTAAGTCGTGTTAGGAGCAACAGTGAAAGGAGGGGGGGGGGGACAAGAGAAATAGGAACAAAAGTGATGTGAGGAGAGAGAGCCCTGCTGAGAAAGTCAGCATTGCAGTAGTATCCAGTCGGTGTGGTGCAGTATGCAGAGGCAGACCGAGGGCTGCAGTGGAATACAGCAGAACACAACTCAGCAGTGGCTACAGTTGCTGCCAGTGACTGAAGTGACAAGGCGGAGACATAAAAAGGTACGTTCATCCAAGAATGAACAAGACACTAGACTGGTGGTCAGCAGTGCAGCTGTACCTTGTGCAGGTCAGGCATGAGGTCTTGGTAGAGCGAGCGGATCAACATGTCAAGGGTCCGCTGACGCTTCTGGGCAAACGTTGGCGTCTCCAGTGTGGCTTTCTCTCCATTGATTACTGCAAGAGATGAAGCGAGATCACTTAGGCAATATGGACGGTGTATTTATTGGCCGTATCCTAATGCAGTTTTGTTTTCTTACATTTGACTAATAAAAAGTCCCTGAATTCTTGGTGATCAGTAAATACAGGCGGAGGTGGGAGAGGGGGTCCAAACAGTGGAACACTCTCCTCTGAGAAAATCTTCAACCTGTGACAAAGAGCAGATATGTAACATCTCTCTTAAACCTACAAATAAAGCAGAGCACATCCCACAGTACGGTAAAGTAGTCAACCTCTTTTTAATCACAGAAACAATAAAGAGGATTATTTTCTTTCTAGGTAGAGAATTAAAAAGCAGTTGTTACAAAGTCTGGACTGGATTGGAACACCACAAACCCCAGCATTAATCAAAGCACTCACCTGTAACTGTCATTCTGGCTATTATACCTAACTAATGCAAAAATATCTGGAGGTGAAGTAAAGGAAACACTGATTATGGAGAAGACACAGTAGCAATCCACGCATCTTCAGTGATGCAGGGCTGATGGGCTCATGCGATATCGGTTCAATAGCAGAACCCCTTCTGAACACGTCGCTGATTACCACTTCATTTCTCTGACAATCAATGTCCGAGTGAAGGATACGGGTGAAGTGCGATCGGATCATAGACGGTTTGAAGGACGACGATGCGTCATCCCCTTCCTGGAATACTATGGTAACAATGTCATTTCCAATGTGTCTCTTTCTCTCCACCTGACAGAGAGGAAAGACCAAAGAGACACAAGATGAGGGAAAAAGCCAACTTCACTTGAGCACTCTGGTAAGTCTTTAAACCTGGATTAATTGATTTTATGATCACTTAGGGGCTGAGCAACAAACTGTAAAGACAACACTGATAAATAATCATCGTGTAAAGTTGTTACGACAAACGTCACTCAATTGCCTATTCAAACATCTAGCAGACACTGAGCAAAAGTAGCATTCAATGTTTCATTTTGGTAAATTGGCACCGCTAAAAGTATGACGAATTATCTATTAGAAAGAAGCTCCTGCTTGCAAATTACCCACGGATGTATAGACATTACTTTGATACTAAAGAAAACTTAAAAACTAGATGATTCTCAGGTAGTTATAATCTGTTTTCTATGATATATTTTTTCGACAGACATCAGAGAAAATGGTATCCTGTGTAAGTGCAATTTATACTGAATCTAATAATGTGTATATCATGTCTGTGTGTTGAGATCCAACTGAGGTGCGACTCCAAAAATAAGTTTGATGTATATTGCGGCAAATCGGTCACGAAGTGTTTTAAAGTACCTTAATTACCACCAGCTGGTTATCACAGTCACTGCTGACCTTGTGGGACAAACTTTATTTGATGCCGGAAAGGTAGCATTAAGTAGTTTATCTGAGCTTTTTCACTAAAACAGCTGCCTGTAGTGTTTAGAAACAACTCTGCTGGGAGCAGTAAGACTGACTCAAAACTTTCAATTCCAATGGTTATATTAATTGTTGATGAGGAGCTGTGCAAGTATGACATGCTGGGGACATAGTGTGTGTGTGTGTGTGTGTGTGTGTGTGTGTGTGTGCTGAAAGGGGTGTCATTCTTACAGCGAATATTTTCCAAGCGCTCGACACCACAAACACCTTAAGAAGCAGTAATAATTTCAACTCTTTCATCTCAAAACTTCAAAGGCAGCGACATCGAGAACATCTACTGCACTTCGTTTTGCCGTCTCTAGTTTTCTTTTTTATCATATTTTCTTTCCCATCAATGACAAATTCATATATTTTGTGTCCATCCAACACTGTTCCAGAGAAAGACATCTCAAAATCTACAACTTGTTGGCATGCAGCACCATCGTGCAAAAATCGACCCTGTCCAACTCTTTAGCTCATGACAACGTATCCTGAAAACTATTAAAAACCTGTAGTCCCATGATGGAAGCATGGTCCTCAGGGGATGAAGCCATCAACAAAATGCCAAAGCTTAAAGTTTCTGAAACGTCTCCAACACCAGTGTATAGCACAACCAGAGAGGTCCAATCTTCTGGAAGAGTTGGCGATGAAGGTGAAAGAAGAGTCAAATATGCAAAAAGTACAGAAAAAAAAAAAAAAAAAAGTGACAAGAAAATAACAGTAGAGAGAGACAAATCTCTCGTGTTGCTCGTCTGACCCAAAATGAGGCAACGGTCTCCATTAATCACAGTCGTTTTCTCTTTTGGATGAGCCAACATTAAACTCTAGCAGCTCTGTGAGGCTGTACACAGGCACAACAGCGCTTTGAACTGAATGCAAAAGTGACCATGCAAATGTGCTCAAAAAGACATCGCTGACATGCCCTGTTTAGCAGGTGTAATGTTTACCATGTTTACTAGCATGCAAACATTTGCTAATTAGCACTAAACACAACTGAGGTTGACGGGAATGTCATTAGTTGTCCAGGTATTTGGTCATAAACCAAAGTATTGGAGAAACTAAGATTTGAAGTCATAACAATTCATCCTCTGGGGATCCTGAATGTCTGCACCAAACGCCAATCCATCCAGTAAGTTACATATTCCATTCTGGGCCATAGTGGTGGACTGACAACAATGCAAACTATAGAACAGGACCGAAATGCACAGCTACACATACAGACACCCACCTGCTGTTTGTTCTCTTTAGAGTAGGGTAACATGGTGGACACATGGAACATGAGCTCATGGCCCTGATACACTGTGTAGATGGACTTCATTCCTGTAGTGTCATCTGCAGGTGAAAAGAGATAGAAACAGAAGAAGATAATTGGCATATTCAAAATCCTTTCAGTTTAAAATGATCATTTTATGCCTTTCAGCAGATGTGAGCTCTCTTACTCTTGGTGTCCAGCCCTCCGCGGTAACCTGCCCATCCCTGCAGCGTAACAGACTCCCCCATCAGATTGAGAAACTTATCGAAGCTCTCACTCCCCGTCTCTGAAACAAACACGGGACGTTTGACCGAGGAGATATCTTTTTATGTATTGCAGTACATTCTGTTTTGACAAGGATTGTTTGACATTTTGGGAAATGAGTTGGCTGAGAAGATCAAAACCCCTCTCTCATTTGTACACAAAATATGAAGCACCAGCAGCCACTTAGCTTAGCACAACTGGAAATAAGAGGAAAAAAAAAGCTAGCCAGGCTCTGTCCGGAAGTAATGTTTATTCAATCTGTACAAAAATAACACAACTCCAGTAACCTGTCTCTCTTATATGTGCTGGACTATTTCTTGGTAAACAAATGAGATATAACATGTTAATTAGTGAGCTTTAGAGGTGCTGGTTGGTGGATTTCATTACTTTCAGAACCACTGCTTCCAGTCTCTATGCTAAGCTAAACTAAGCGGCTAATGCCTCCAGCTTCACCTTGAACCGACAGATATGAAATTATTAGCAATCTTCTCATCCAACTCTTGGCCAGAGAGCATATTTCCCTTTAATAGGTTTGAACACCGAGATAAGTCAGAGAGATTTACCGTTGCTAAACATCTCGTCATCTGTGAGCTGTCCGTCTTTGGCAAACAGGACGCCAAATTTAAAGTTGACAGAACCCTACAAAAATATGGCTGGGTTAAAATCTTGAAGTTATTAAAAATTCACGCATTTATATTATTAACTGTAGTTGGACATATATTTTACTTTTAAGACAACAGCAAAAGATTATTTTTCAACAGTTTGGTGTTTACCAGATAAAGAATCAATAAAGGGAATATTCCCTTTTGTTTGGTATATCATACCAGGTACACACTGTACTCTCTTGAAAATAAAGAGACCTCTACCATTAACAATCAAAGAATAAGCTAAACTGTATGGTGAGAGCAGTATCATCCCATACCTCCTGTTCCTCCAACACCAGCAGGTCCTGAGGAAAGAGGACATAACAAATATTATTCACACCGACTAGCGCTCCAGCCTGAGGATATTATACAGTTTAGATGCTGCTGATCAGGCCAGGCATGAAATGTACCAGTGCTACATTTCATACAAGAGCTGGCAAATGCTCTGAATCTCACCTTCTGAATCTCTGGGTTGAGGATCTCCCTGGGGCCTTTCTCAAACCTGTCCATGTTCATTGCACTGAATAAGAGTGAGTAAGGGAAGGAGGAAAAGAAGGAGTGGAGGAAGTAGTAATGAAAAAAAAAAGAGAGAAAGGTGTGTTTAGGATTGATGAAAGACAAATAGTCCAGAGGGCGGAACAGAAAAACGAGCAAGACCTGATACAGGGGACTTCTCATCCTGCTTGTACCATTTGTCCTTATACAGTTTCAGCGATGACGCCGCTCAGACTGATGAATTCATAATCTCCAATCTCCTGTTTCATGCATCTTGTTATATCCTGTTACCCATCACTCACGAAATTTGAAAATAATTACAGCTTGGCGGCAACCATGTTTGCACCTACACAACAGTAAACACAGTTCAAAATGGTGTTAACATAATTGGCATAATTGGAGGCGCTGGTTTGCTGACAGTCTTTATGTCTCAGAAGTAGCATGAGATAACCAACAATAATAATTCCCATACATGTTTTGCAAAGAGTGGATTAACTGTGCCGTCTTTGAGCTGCAGGCTGCACTTCTCACCTGAGGATGGACTTGACTGATAGTGTTTTGGTCGGGCTGTAGGGGAGGCTGATCTTCAGAGTGCCCTAAGCGAACAAGAATGACACAGATCAGGGATTACAAACTCATTCACCTTTTCTCTGAGGAATCACTCACTCAAACCTGTTGCGCTGTTGCTCATTTTTAAATTCACAACATATTTTTCAATCATTCGTAGAATGAATACAGAGGACAAAATCAAACCAGATCAGTTCAAGCCAAACAAAGTTGTTCTGCTCAACAACAACAACATCCTGTACCAGTTAGAGTCTGACAGAAACAAGACAAATCAATGCGATCAGGCAGCGGAGGTGCACCACCCTAATCAGGTTCCAGATAAGGCTGGAGGCCAAAATTAAATCCAAGCCATCTTGGTCGTGAAGCTGAGTCGCCACATGGCAAACACACAATAATGAACATGCATCTTACACACACACACACACACACACACACACACACAAGATGCCGTTTTCTGTCGTTTCATATTTAGATACACTGAAAAAGTACCACCTACATGTAATGTGTAATCCGATAGACGATGTACATGTTTGAGCTTTATCTGTTCTTCAAAAGTTTCAGTTCCTTCCCCTCTGATCGGGGAGGATCCTGTGAGGCAGTAGTAGAAAGTAGCTAGGTATAAGTACACTATGAGGTACACACTGTTGCAAAACAGATTCCTAATCCGGTGTTTTTCACATCCGTGTTTACTGGCTAGCAGTCCTCGTCTCTCCTGCCTTATTGCATGCGTGTCCTTGTGCATGTGCAGAAGATAAGCAAACAAAACAAAACTTAAAACCCCTCACAGGGAACCTTTAAGTTGAATTTTGAATGCAGGACTACATCTTGTAATGGAGTATTGCTACGTTTACATGAGTAAAGGGTCTGAGTACTTGTTCCCCCACTGCTGTGAGGCGAGCAGATGGTGAACTCACCATCTTTCTCCAGAGGACGGCTCTGTACTGAGGAACCCGCTGGTTGTTTTGGTCTGAGAGGACGACCGACAGGTAGAAGGGATTCTTCTCTGCATCTGTACCCACATAGTTCTGGTGGACTGGGGAGACAGAGATAATATACAGATACAATTATACCTATATATCTCTTAGGTATTCAACACTCCCTTTTAACCGCTTGCTATCTTGGCCTGTCTTTCTCTGCCTTTTTGTCTTCCCTCCTACCTATTCTTTCATTATTTTCTGTAGCCCTTTCATTCATCCACCCCCTCCCTCCCCCCCTCCATAGAGTCGCACATTCATGCCTCTGCTTCTTCGGTTGACAGGGCAACGTCTTCAGAAACAATGCTGAACAGACCTCCAAACCCAATTAGACACAGGATCTCTGCCTGAATTGCTGTCCTTCCCTTTGTCCTCAATAAAGCACATTAATCAATCAGGAATTATCTTCATATGTAATGCAAAGGGAGACAAACAAGGACAAACCATTTTACTATTCTTTACCTGATCATTGAGAAATTGAGAATTCAAGTTCTTGTATTGGATGCTTCATTAGACAGGAAGTGCTAGTGGTAGAATAATTGGCCTTGAGTTCATAATGTGTTGTGTTGTATGATGCAATCAGCTCTGCTCAGGCTGTGAGGCACAGATGGCTCAGCTGCAGGTCGAGCCAACTTTCGGGAGACATGTTTCGGGAGACATGGCTCATTTTAAACTGCCCGTGCCATACTGTGATTAGACTCTGGCAGGAGGAGGAAAGGCCTTTCTTGCTGTTCAACTTTCCTTTACAATTATAAAAAGAAAGGTAAAGAAACAAACGGACAATGATCTTTTGTTCCACAGCCTTCTATGCGAGCCTGAGAACAGGCTGGGTGATGAGATGATGAGGGTCAGAAAAGGGAAGGAGTAGGTGACCCCTTCTAATGTATTCCACAATCACAGAGGGCGCTTTCGGGAATGGCTCCTACTAGCCTGCTGCAGAGCACCGGGCTCATTTAAGACCCCAATAGTCCGATCTAAATTGTGTTATCTATTGGAGGCAAGCTTTGTCTGGTGGTGGTGAGGCTGTGTGTGCTCTAAGGGCTTCCTCCCTGGGTGGTGTATGGGATTAGACTGTGGTTGAGACTCTCAGTGGGGATATGGGTGGATGCTAACAAGTCTTGGCCTTGAATGAAGAGCAGTGCAGCGTGAGGACAAGGCTGACTTCATAAGATAAGACGCGTCCTGTGGACCAGGGAAGAAATTCAGAGGATGTTTTATTTCTGCAGCTCACAGGCTCTCCATCACCCTAACCCTATGTCTTTCTCTCTCCACTCCATGTGTCTGACTGAGTGTGTGTTTTTTAAAAAACATAACAGAGCAGCACTGACCTTTTCCCAGAAAGTATTTAAAGAACCATCTGGTGTGGTACTCTGGATTCTCCAGATGGACATCGGTTCTCCTCCAGGTTCCTGGTGTGTAGTCCAAAGCCTGTTTGTTACATAAACACACACACACACACACACACACACACACACACACACACACACACA